GTCAGCATGGACGTTGAACGCCTCACCAAGTTTTGACGTTTTGTCCCAGACGATAGGATTTGCGAATTGGCCTTGAAGTTCCGAGCAGAATGGGAAGCGGCGCTGCAGAGAAACAAATTGGGAAGAGACCCCCCTGGCTGCGACTAGCCCCCCCGCCCAAGTCCGTAGCCGACGTCTTCTATTACGGCGACGCGATTTGTCATCTACATGCCCCTACGCCATTGCAGTTACGGAGAGACGGTGGGCGGGGGATGTCGCGCGCTGCACAGCACGCGCACGGCGTAGAGATGGGCCACGGACAGCGGGGGGGAAGGGTGGGACCATAATCCAAAGTGCCACGTGGAGCCCAGGGCAAGTGGGCACTGCGCTACAACCTTCATCGATCACCTTCGGCCTCCACAGCCTGCCGGGCTCAGCGACGGCCCAGGCGCGCATGCGTTGCGCACCGGCAGGGGAATCTTGGAGCGCAGGGCGCTGGAGGCTGCCCGTGGCCTTCACGAGGAGCGGCCAGCCATGGCCCTGCGGCCGCTGCAACAAGGGGTTCGGGCACTACAAGATGATCGAGAGCCACAGAGGGGCACGCCAAGAACGCGCCAAGACACGAAGAATATCAAAGGGGGCAAAGGAAGGCAATGGAAGTGGGCGCGCATAGACTGCGAGCTGGAGCCCAGGCAGGAGGAGTGGACCGAGTGGAGCGACGATGAGAAGATACGACATGGAGGAGAGCAGTACATTATGAGGGAGCAAGCATGTCGAGAGCAGAAGAGGAAAGCAAAGGGAGCCGCGTGGGAACCCCAGCCCCTCGGGCAGACCCAGGCGGCGAAGGCGCTCATCGAATCCGAAAAAGGAGTGTGACAATCATAGGAACAAGATGGTCATCGAGAGGTCCAGGGAGACGTCAGAGGCACTGCTGGAGGGCATCAAAAAGAAGGGGGGGGGCATCTTCGCAGCCTTCAGCAAGGCAGGAAAAGGCATGGCAGATGCCTTAAACTGTGCTGGAGAATGTAACACCCTGCTGAACAGGCACATGGCCATGGACGCCAAAGACGAAGAAGCGCCGAACGCAGCCAAGAAGGAACAGGAGGAAAAAGAGAAGGAGCTGTGCGAGATGAGCGACCACAAGACGGCAAGGAACTTGGGAGAAGCAGACAAAGTACCTCAAGGCGCCGGGCTTCGTGGACAAGTGGATTGACAACACGCAGCTGTTCAACGCGTGCAGGGGGAACACGGGATGGGACGAGAAGAAGGACACCGCCTGCTCGCGCGGACTTGCATCCCCTGACATGGCGGCATGGCCCCAGCCCCGACTCGAGGGGGGGCCAGTGGAAGTTCCGACGCAAGGTGGACTGGGCGCAGTTGGCGGAGGCGCAGGAGAAACATCCAGAAGACGAGCTCGCGACAGCGCGGGCGGACAAAATGAAGGACGATTTCGGCACGGACCGCGAGTAGTGGCCCGACATCGGACGCAAGTCGATGTTCCACCCGCACAAGAGGGGCCCCTTAGTGGTGGAGGAGCTCCAGGTAGAAGAAAGTGGGAAGCATTCGGAGCGGACACGCTGCCGCAGAGGCTAGACGACGCTATCAAGGAAAACCACTACAAGTCCCACGATGCCGCCCAGAAGATGAGCCCAGAGGAGTTGCTCGAGCCGATTCCAATGTCCTTCCAGATGACGCACCAGGTCCAGGGCTGCGCGCGCATCGCAAGGCGCCCGGTGGACGCGTGGGAAAGAGCTGGGAGGGAGGCCCCCACGACGCAGAGCTGGCGCGAGCTGGCGCTGAAGATCTCAAAGGACGACGAGGAGCACCTTTTACGGCGCCATGAAGGTTGCCTCGAAGGAGATGAAGAACGAGGACACACCCGACCCTGAGGAGGTAGAGGCTCGAAAAGCGCCAGCAGTTACGAGACAGTGCGAAAACCCTGCTGGATGGCACCGAGATCTTCGAAAAGTACGCCAAGTCAGAGGAGGCGGCCAGCTCCGGCGGCTGCACGTGAAAGAGCCCGCTGGCAATGCCAAGAGGTGCATCAGCGAGGAACTCTCGGAGCGCGACTCTAGTCAGACAGGACGGGCAGACTCAGCGGGACCATCACTAGCGGGGATTTTTCGGCGCGAGGACCCTCGAGAGAGTGCTCGCACAGACAACGTCTTGGAAAGTGATTTTTGGGAGCGCCGACAGGTGCACGACTACAGGGAGCGAGTATGAAAAAATGAGATAAGCACGAAAGCCATCAGAGCGCATCCTCGAGGGCCCCACAGACACAAGAGAAGTGGAGGAAGAAGTGTAAACCAACCTCCAACATGCCGCGATTATCAGCATGCTCTCCCCGACCTACACTTCGAGGGGGCACAGTGGGATACCACTGCAGGTATCAGGGTACAGATACGACAATGCACGGGACGACCATCGGCCAGCACGCTCAGGAAGAGAAGTGGTCCGAGAGAGAGAGAGAGAGAGAGAGAGAGAGAGGAGAGAGAGAGAGAGAGAGAAAGAAAGAGAGAGAGAGAGAGAGCGAGAATAGGATAGAAATACAACCAGTAGTAAAATTAGGCCCGCCAGCAAAAGTTCGGAAAGCATGGGCGCCCCGATTCCCCTCCTCTTTTCCTTTTGCGAGGTCGGGTCGTCGTCTCTTCCCCCCTCGCTTGGGAGCCCTGCTCGCCCAGCGCGTCCCCAATTCCACGGGCACGCGAGAGGGCCAACAGCTGCTCCCCCCGCGCTGACCCGCAGGGATTCGCACTCACGAGGTAGCGACCCACTCCTACGGGGCCACTTCGGAGCTCGTCCGTTGAAGCTTCCGGGTATGCCCCCTGCCTGCCCCAGTGAGAAGTCAGGGCTGTTGCACAACGAAATCGCAGGGGATTTTGCCAGACGCGCGCAAGGCACCAGTGTAGGTGCGTTTACGTTGACCCCCTTATGCGGATGTCGTGTCCTGTCTTGTCCTCCTCCTCCTCGTCCGCGTCCTCGCCCTTCAGTGGCCAGCTTGGTTCGAGCCGTTTGTAATCGAACCCCCAGGAGGTACCATATGAGCTCCCACTCCGACCAGTTCCTCTCGCCCCGCGGGCTGGCCCCATCATGGATCAGGTCCCGCGGCGCCGCCAGCCCAATCGCACCGCGGCTGAGCGCCGAGCTCAGTATGCACGTGCGGAAGGGCGCGCGGCCATGCGGCTCCTGCGCGCCGTCACGGAAGATCGAACTGCACAGGGGCCATGGCGCGACGAGCCTCGCCCATGCGCTCCGCCAGGCGATGGCTGGCGAACCGGCTGGTGCAGCCGATGGAGCCCGCCCTGTATCTCCTCCAGGTTTGGCGCCCGACAGCGAGTAGGCCGGCGTGCAGCCAGCAGCAGCGTCGGCCCCGCAGCCACCCGCAGCTTCAACAGGGGCCTCGCAGGAGAAGACTGCCCAGGGGTGGGATGGCGAGGCGGCGCAGGCGCGTGGCGCGGTGGAATCGGCAGTCTCTGCAAGGGCCCCTGTCGGTGGCCGGTGTCCCCCGAAGGTCGTGGCACTTGCGGCCATACACGCTGGCGCACCACGTGTTCATGCAGGGTGCGAAGTGCCAAGAGGAGTGTGTTCGTAGACTGCCCCACATCCCCGCCCTGGCGCGTCGTCGGCCGTGAGCGGCGCATGGGCTAGGCGCGCTGGGCGGAACCGCTGTTGCCGTACCTGATATTCGGCAGTGTGGGGCCCTCGTCCTCACGCCACATGTCTTGGCCGAGTGCAGCGGGGCAACGAAGCAGCAATGGCAGCCTTCTGCGTCTGCTTCGTTCCTCTCTTAAACGGCGATTGCAAACGCCAGTGCCTATGTGTTGTGGTGATTGCTCTTTTTCGTTCAAGCATGCTGTCTTTTGTCCAGTGTTAGACAGATTTCGTCTCCGCGGCATCAGATGGGTCTCGGTTGTACTTCGGCTGAGGATGGTCCAGGCCCGCGGGGCACGCAAGGCGAATGTGTTCCCTTGCTTGTGAGAAGGTATATTCGCCGTTTGTTGGTTGCAAAGGGCAACCATGGAGGTTCAAGCCGTTTTGTTTTCGATTGTGAAATTTCCTTCTTGGGCATCGGCAGCTGCAGCGGCGTCAGCGTCACGCGCAATGTGGTGAACTGCTTCTTTGTCCTTGTGTGGGGTTGTCCTGGTCGTCGCGGCCATGGTGGGGAGAGTGCTCCATGTACGGATGGTTTCGCCATCGTTCCGAGGTCATTTGAGCGAGCGACGCTGAATTGTACCGGACACAGTCGCAATATCCTTGGCTCCGTAATCCTTTTTCGTCTTCCTCGTCCTCGTCATTGTCCTGTTCGTCCTCCTCCTACTCCTCTTCTTCCTCCTCCTTGTCGGGGGCAGGCATCGCTAAGCTGGATAAGTTTGTCTTGAGTACTTGCTCACTGGCCCTGGGCAGAGTTAACCTCATCCTTATCCTCCTCCTCGTCGTCCTCCTCCTCCTCCGCCGCCTCTGCCCCTCTGCCTGTCGCCCGCCTTCCGCAGGTAGATGCCAGAGCGGTGCCTTCAGTGTAGCAGCATGGTTGCCGTGACGGCGGACTTGCGACAGGCAGCTAAGCAAGGCCTTAACGGTCTCAGCCCGGGCCAAGTTTCTCTAGAGTGGACATCAGACAGTTTGATAGGCTTGAGTGCTCTCATCCTCCTCATCCTCCTCCTCCTCCTCCTCCTCTTCCTCCTCCTCCTCCTCCTCCTCCATCTCCCCCTCCTCCTTGCCATCCTCGCCATCCTCCTTGCCGTCCTCCTCACCCTCCTCCGCTTCCTCGCTTCCTCCCTCTTTGATCCTCGTCGTCATCGCCCTCTCCCTCGTCCTTCTCCTCGTCCCCCTCCTCGCCCCCTTCCTCCTCCGCGATCCTTCTCCCCCTCCTCGCCGTCCTCCTCATCCTCCTCCTCCTCCTCCTCCTCCTCGTCCTCCTCGCCCTCCTCCTTGCTGTCCTCCTCCTTCTCCGCTTTCTCGATCCTCTTCTTTGCTCCTCCTCCCCGGTCCTCCCCCGGCAAGCGCCCTTGGGCCCCCCCCAGGGCTTCTGCCGCGGACCCCGGGAGCTGCAGTGGTCCGAGCGCGTGACGGCGGAGGCCTTCTGCCAGAGGCGCCCGCGGCCCTCGGCCTTCTGGGGCAGCGGCCTGATCGCAGGACGGGTCGGGCGCTCCTCCTCCTCCTCCTCCTCCTCCACCTCCTCCTCCTCCTCCTCCTCCTCCTCCCCCTCCTCCTCCTCCTCCTCCCCCTCCTCCTCCTCCTCCTCCTCCTCCTCCTCCTCCTCATCCTCCTCCTCCTCATCATCATCATCATCATCATCATCCTTCTCATCCTCCCAACCTTTTTGACAATGCAAACGGGGGTCAATGCAAACGGGGGTCAGCCAGGGCGCCAGATCCTGCAGGATCCTGCGAAGACCCCCTCTGGCTGACCCGGGTTGGCGAGCCGCTCGTGGCCGCGAGGCGGCCGCGCCTATGGGCTGACCCGGGTTTGCGAAGACCTGCGTTGCAGTTTTTTGTTCCTGCATTGCAGTGTTTGGTTTCCTGCTGACCCGGGTCTGGATTGACCCGGGTCAGAAGATCCCCGACCTGGTCGCAGGACGGGTCGGGGCGCCACCTCCCCTTTGCCCGCTTGTGCGCGCCGCCAAGACCTGGGCACGGCCCCTTTCCATCCCATCGGTCCCATTCCATACCAATTCTGGCCACTTCGTGCTAGCTCGGGTTCGATTTCCTGGAGATCCCATGGGCAACCTGGGCGTGTCGGGCGGGGCCAGGACGAGGATGCGTCCGTTCCAGATCGTTCCAGAACGCCCTCTGAGCGTTGCAGAATGCTCTGAGAAGGCCGCGGCGCCCGATGCATCCTCCAGAGCCGCCGGATCTCAGAGATGCTCGATGTATCCTCACCCCGATTTACCTCCGTCTTGGCCTCGTCTTAGGTCGGGGTTCGGGACGACGGAAATGGGTACGGAAAGAATGGGAACAAAGACCGACAGGATCCCCGGTTCATTTTGAACAGGGCTCGCTGTCCGCGTCGCCGCAACCTGTGTCCACTTGAGGCAGAAGGCCGCCTGCCCAACAGCGGCCGCTGCCGGTCTTGGGCAGCATTTGTTGTTGGTCTGCGTGCCCATTTTTTCTGTTCCCATTTCGGGCGTCTAAAGAAGAGGACCAGGAAGGAGCAAGACTTGTAGATCCCGGGCGTTGCGAATTTATCATGACGGGCGTTTCCGTCCGGTGTCGGGCCCCGGGAACCTTCTCAGATCGGCCTGGCTCGAGAAGGGCCGCAGAAAGATGGGGTCTAGGGCTCTGGTCGCGATTTCGCGATGTTGCAATTTTCCCCGACATTGGATCTCAGGGAAGGGCGACGAGGGCGTAGAGGACGAGGACGAGGACGAGGAGGACGAGAACAAAGCGGAGGAGGACAAGGACGAGGAGGACGCGGAGGAGGAGGAGGACGACGACGAGAACGTGGACGAGAAGGAAGAGGAGGAGGATGAGGAGGAGGAGGAGTAGAACGGGGAGGAGAAGGAGGACGACGAGGAGGCTTTCTGCCGGAGGTGCCGCACCCTCGGCTTCCAGGACAACTATTTGGCCCTCTGGAACCACCTGCTGTCGCGGAAGGTACGCCGACATTCGGGAGGGGGAAGAGATACAGATACCCGTCGGTCGCTGAAAGCAGCCTACTTTAGCCGCCTTCCTATTTCAAGAGTTGAATGGTTTTCCCTCTTCCCTCCTCTTCAGGGGGCGGGCGGAAACCCAACCTACTTCCAACGCCTTCCTACTTCTTGATTCTACCCTCTCCTTCCGACCGACGGGTGCCGCTGCTTGTCCTGGAGCGCCCGCGCTGCCACGGCTGGATCCTCGTCGAAACTCTGGTCGGCACGCACCCTGGAAGAGTTCCGAGGAGACGCGAGGAGATCCCTTCAGACACCTAAGACGGGGTGGGTCTCACCGTTGTCAGCGTCCGGGGGGGATCCTCGCCGGCCGGGCCGGGCCCCGTGACAGTCTAGAGCGATTTGGGATGAAGATTTGGCTCTGGGAAAAGGATTGGCGGCCTGCATCGAGACAATGATCGTGGCGAAGGGCCCAGCCATGTGCAGTTGTGAATAGCGCAGTTACGAGAACCGTTTTCGGTGGAGCTCCCTGTGTGGCCACGGAACGTGTGAGGGGTGTGCCGAAACGGACGTGACGCCCGCATGTGATCGGTTCTTTTGGGGTCTACGGCGGAGCTTCTTGTGGGGCCACGAAACGTGTGAGAGGTGTGCCGAAACGGACGTGACGCCCGCATGTGGACGGTTCCTTTCAAGCCTTCGGCGGAGCTCTCTGCGGCCACGAAACGGGTGAGGGGTGTGCCGAAACGGGTTCGGGTACGCCATGCGGACCTGCATTTGTGGCCTTCGGTGGAGCTCCCTATTGGATCACGCAGCGTGTCAGAGGTGTGCCGAATTGGGTGTGGGTGCGCCATGCGAACGCAGCCACTGGGGCCGGTGGAGCTCCCTATGACACCACGCAACGTGTGAGGAGTGTGCCGCATCAGGGGCGGGTTCGCCATGCCAACGCATCCACTTAGGCCTTCGGAGGAGCTCCCCATGGTGCCTCGATGCGTGCAACGGGTGTGACGAATCGGGTGCGGGTGCGCCATGAGAACGCAGCCACTGAAGCCTTTTCTGGAGCTATTCATGGGGTCACGAAACGTGTGAGGGGTGTGCCGAATCGGGTAGGGGTGCGCCATACGAACGCAGCCGTTTGGGCTTTCGATGGAGCTCACCATGGGGCCACGAAGAGTGTGAGCGATGTGCGTAATCGAGTGCGGGTACGCCATGCGAACGCAGCCAACGGGGCTTCGGTGAAGCTTTTCTATGGGGCCAAGAAGCCGGTGAGGGGTGTGCCGACTCGGGTGCGGGCGCGCCATGCGAACGCAGGGGCACTTCATGGGGCCACGAAACGTGCGAGGGGTATGCCGAATCGGGTAGGGGTGCGCCATACGAACGCAGCTATTTGGGCTTTCGGTGGAGTTCACCATGGGGCCACGAAACGTGTGAGTGATGTACGTAATCGAGTGAGGGTACGCCATGCGAACGCAGCCAATGGGGCTTCGGTGAAGCTTTTTCATGGGGCCAAGAAACCTTTGAGGGGTGTGCCGAATCGGGTGCGGGCGCGCCATGCGAACGCACGGGCATTTCATGGGGCCACGAAAAGCGTCAGGGGGTTGCCGGTTCGGGTAGGGGTACGCAGTGCGAACGCAGCCATTGGGGCTTCCAGCGGGGCTTCCCATGGGGCCACGAAGCGTGTGATGGGTGTGCCGAATGAGGTGCGGGCGCGCCATGCGAACGCAGCCCATCGGGGGTGAAGCTCCCTGTGGAGCCACAGAACGTGTGAGGGGATTCCGAATCGGGTGCGGGTGCGCCATGCGAACGGAGCCATTGGGGCATTATTTGGAATTCTCTGGTGGGCCGCGAAACCGTGTGAGGGGTCTAACACAGGAGGGTTGGGAAGATGATGGTGATGATGACGACGATGACGATGAGGTGGTGGTGGTGATGATGACGCTGACGATGATGATGGCGATAAGGGCGTGTGGAGAGCAGAGGCAGGCATGGAGTATTGAGGAGGTGAGGAGAGGAGGGGGAAGGAGACGCGGGGCGCGTCCCTTCAAAACGACGACCCAACACCACAGGATGGTTGGGGAAAAAGAATCAAGACACCGGATGGGTGCAGGCTGCCTTTGGGACGCTTCAGAAAGGGCTCCGCCTTCGAGCGATCGAGCAGCTACCACCTCCTCCTCGACAGAAAATCCGGAGGCAGCCGACGGAAGCGAAACGAGGGCGGCTCCGCCAGCGGAATGAGCGGAAGGCCAGAGAAAGCAAACATCATCCCCCAAAGATGACAATGTCAGATGCTGCCGCGGAGAGGAAGATGGCAGGCATGCAATGTGTGCCGGAGGTCCGCGCGGATCTCCTGGGTCGGAGCCCGGCCTCCCTCGCCTGGCGCGCGGAGCGCGCGCTGGGCGGCGCCGGCGGCGCCGCCAGGAGAGCTGCAGTGCCGACCCAAGAGATCCGCTCGGGGGTGGACAGACCTCCTACCCTCACACGTCGATTGAGGAATTGGCCGTTCTCGGTTCGCGAGAGGGTGTCGTGGCCGTCGTTTTTGCGGGTCCAGGTCCGTCGGTTTCGGTCCCAGGCCGTTTTCATTAAGGGGAGGTTTACTAAAGGGAGGTTTGGCCACCGCCGATCCGCGCGAATCTCCGAGAGTTTATGTCTGGGACGTGTCGAATCTGTCGTCCTGGCCATCTGGGGCGAGCTGCTGTCGCGGGAGGCAGGCTCCTCGTCGATGCGATCGGTCAGACTCGATGTCGGCTCCAGCCGGGCCAATCCGGCTCGATTCCGATATTCCAGCGATCCGACGCGGCCTGGTGGATGCGCGGTATTTGTTCCAACCATCCTGTGGTGTTGGGTCCTGGTCTTGAAGAGACAGCGCCCCGCGTTCCCGATTCCTTCCTTCCTCCCCCTCCTCCCTTCTCTCCCCCCTTGCCTCTGCCCTCCGCATGTCCATCATTTCGGAACACCCCTCACACGGGTCGTGGCCCCATAGGGAGCTCCAACGAAAGCCCCAGTGGCAGGGTCCGCATGCGTCCCCCCGCCAATTGTGGCACACCCCTCACGAGGATCGTGGCCCCATAGGGAGCTCCACCGAAGGCACCAGCGGCAGGGTCCGCATGCGTCCCCCCGCCCATTTCGGCACACCCCTCACGAGGATCGTGGCCCCACAGGGAGCTCCACCGAAGGCCCCAACGGCACGTTCCCCGATCATTTCGGCATACCACTCACGAGGATCGTGGCCCCATAGGGAGCTCCACCGAAGGCCACAGCGGCAGGGTCCGCATGCGTCCCCCCGCCCAATTCGGCACACCCCTCACGTGGATCGTGGCCCCACAGGGAGCCCCACCGAAGGTCCCAGCGGCATGGTCCGCATGCGTCCCCCAGCTCATTTCGGCACATCCCTCACGAGGATCGTGGCCCCATAAGGAGCTCCACCGAAGGCTCCAGCGG